CAAGTCTCTGTGATGCCCTTACTTTCACATTTCATATCTGAAAAACTACACCAAGAGGTCAAAGCTACCAAGGTTGGTTGTCAGCCCTAGATGTAGCTTGGTCTCCTTGAACCACAGTTTTGAACCACAGTTTCATTTCCTCTGTTTGTGGAGCTTGGTGAAACATTTCTTTTCTAGGTGACTGTTTTTGAGCAAGGAGTCTCCTCAGTGGGTTGCCAGCCTAAGCTCATTCCTTTCAAATGAATTTGAGTTTTCCCAAGTTGGTCTTACTGCGGGGGGGGGGGGGGGGGGGAGGGGGGGAAGACAGGGGGGCGCGGCTTTCTTTCTATTGTTAGGGGTCTCTGTAAATTTCCCATCACCTTGAAACTTTCCTGCTAGGCTACCTTCTCTGGCAAACCACAGTTTTCAGATCTTTTTGTTCTACTTGTCTCTCTCACTCAGATCTGGATGAGAGCAGTTAACAGCCACCATGCCATAGCCTGAATACTCTCCTGTCTTGAAATTCCCTCTGCCAAACCAATTAGTCCATTACTGTTGAATTTAGTCACACTCAAGTTCTCAGGACACCAGCAGAGTGTCATTCTCTGCCAGAATATAACAGCAATGCTATCTAGCCTGATTTTTGACAGAATCCTCATTCCCCTCTGAATCCCCCACTGTTCACATCAGCTCACATTCTTCTGAAGGCCCACCAGGAAGTACCATTAAGCATTGCCTGCAGCACTGGGGGGCTTTTCTAGTTCACATTTCCAAACTCTTTCACCTCCCTCCCTCACGCCCGCTCCAAATGCCCAAGTTTACCCAGCAATAGTCTTGCTTCTTGGTACTGATTTTCTGCACTCCATTTGTGGAAGGAATACTGACTTGTTGTTTGAAGATTTTATTATTTATTTATGTGCAGGTATGTATGCAGGTGACCTCGGTGCCCCTGGAGGCCAGAGGGTTTCGGATCCCCTCTGCAGTTCCTGGCAGTTTCGAGCCATCTGATGTAGGTGCTGGGAAAGACATGGTTTCTACACAAGAGTAGCAAGTGCTTTCATTGATGAGCGAGCAAGCTCTCTAGCTCCTGACCTTTTGTTTTCAAAGCAAAGAGTCAATGAGGTTTTGTCAGGCTGCAGCAAGCTCAGAGCGGTCTTCTGTGGGTTGTGATTTCAGAGCCTTCCCACTGACACTTAGAGCTTTTCCATGACATCACCCCCATGACTACTCTGCTAAGTGAGCAGCAGCAGCCTGCTTTAGGGGGCATGATTGGCTAAAACAAATGCTACAGGCGGGGTAGTTAATAATGTATTTCCCATAGTTCTGGAGGCTGGGAGATACAAGGGTGCCACCAGACTCCATGTTTGTGGAGGGTCCTCTCCTTTGCAGAGAAGCACCTTACTGATGCATTACAAGGATGAAAAAGCACCTCTCTCCTCTTTTCTAATAAAGGCATCAATCCCATCCACGAGGGCTCCACTGTCAAGACCTCATAATAATTTGGGAAGTGAATCCATTTGGAGCGATACAAACATTCAATACCCAGCATGATCTGTGCTGAGGTTCATGTTTTTCAGGTCTATTGTAAGTCTTTGAGGTCAGACCAGTGCTTTTCACAGAACGGGGAAGAAAATTAAAAAAAAAAAGAAGTTTAAATATGTTGATTTTTCTCATCTTTCACAGCTGGAGTTGATGTTACTTCACCTGGCTAAAAATTGGGAATGAGTCATAAAAGCCTTGTAAGTGAGTTTGGCTGAGGAGAAGTGAACCCCTGGGGAGCGGTGGAGGGAGGAGGAGCCTCCCTTCTCAGGAGAGTTTTGAGCCATAGGACTAAAATTTTCAAAGTAGGAAAACATAAGTAGAAGCTTTCCTTTCAAAAGACTCCTTTACCAGTTCCTTTTGCTTTTCCTTTAGAAGAAATATTTACAAGGTAGCAATTTTCATCTGGCTTCAAAAAGTATCCATATTTAAATGCGACAGCAGTAAGAACTAGCACCTCTTGTTATCTGTAGATTCAGATCCCATTCTAAATGCTTAACCATCCACATGTTAAGTGCCCTGGTCCTCAAAATAACTCAAGAAATATTGCAATGAAATGTAAATATAATGGAACAGGTTCCCTACAGTGAGTGAAATACATAACAAAAATACATAAATAAAAAATACATAACAAAATATTAAGATGCACACATAGCAAAACCGAAGCTTAATGATGAATAACCTATTGTAATTAAATGTTCACATTAGCTAATGCAGTCAAATTAGGGCTAGAACCCAGACACGTAAGCTTCATGAGTAGACAAAATTTTCCATTGGCCGCGCTATGAAGGGGAAAGCAGAGAGCAGTTATGAGGATGTGGGGATGTTCAAATCTTAGGTGGTATGGAGTGAATGGACACTAGATTCTCAACTGCAGTGCTTGATCCATTACGGTGATAGTATCAGAAGCAATCATAGAACCAACCTCAAATGTTGTCATGTAGGAATTTCCTTTACAGGGGAACACTTCTCCTTGGGCGGAGGCAGGGGGACTCACAAGAAAGTTATGAAAACTCACAACAACAAAGTTAGAAGGCTTACATAACCTTCCTGAGGTTATATAAGCAGTAAACAGTTGCTGGAGGAAAGACTCTTGTTGGGGAGGCTCATGGGAGTGAGGCAGATGAGGAGGACCTACCTTTCCATGAGGAGATAGGCAGGTGTTAGCTACTGTCCACGTACTGCTAAAACACACTATGAACACTATTCGTGTTAATGGTAATGTCTTACATTGTGGGCTCTTTCCAATACTCATGTACTAACAAAGATGTTGGGGACGGCTTGGTTTGACCATTTGGCAGGTGTCAACTCTTCTTGTTGCTCTGTCAGCATTGAGCAAAAGGACTGCCAGGCAAGCAGCCGGTCTACCAGCACTAAGCATCTGGAACATTCCATGGATGCCTTTAGGAAGGGAGCTTCAGACAGCTTGCCCTGTACTTTTTGCTATACAGCCTTCGATGGGCCCTAGCTGATCCTGCGACTGTTTCCACCCAGGGCAGCAGTTTTTCCTGCAGCCTAGGAGTAGGATGGGTTTGCTGATACAAAAGGGACCTCTGTGTACTCCGTGCAACCACAAACCTTCATTAGCATGAGTGATTTTCTGCGGTTGTTGCAAACATCTCCTCCTTGGCTAGTTAAGCAGGTTTTCTGGTTCACTTTGCAAGCTTCTGACAGGAGAGCTTAACATGTTCCTCGGAGACTTGGCTATAAAAGTCTTTCAGTGAGTGTGGTCATGTTCCCTAATAATGTTAAATCCCTTCGCAGCACCATTAGGTAACTTCAAATCCTGAACTGTAATTCAGACTACAGAGATAGGACATATACTATGGTTGACAGAAAGAAGAAAAAGAAGAACAAACAAGAAAGAAATGAAGTCACTCCAAATCAGTTCCTTTATCTAAAATGAATTAGGATGTTAAAGCCTCATTTATGTCTGATAGTCCTATACTCTTGAGTTGACATTTCATTCATCCATTAAACTCCACAGTACAGTGGGTTTCAGTAAAATTCCTATTAATGACCCCCAGACTTTTTTCTATGTTGTGGGAGCACAAGAAAAATATGCATAAATCTAAACCTGAATATACATTGTCATTTTTAAGGTGCTCACCAAAAAGCAACAATATTTAGGCAATGTGACCCTTCAGTGTCTGGGCAAATACACCTGATTGGTTTAGCTATTCTTTCTTCACTTCCGTCTGTAAACTTTATCAGCAAAGCATTTGGAAGATGGAGTTGGGTGAAGGGGGTGGGGCGACTAGCACTAACGTTTTTTGCAAACACATTTTTTTATGTTTTCAAATTATAAAGGGTCTCAAACTTCAAGGAAGAATGTAACCAGCATAACTTGAATTAAGATGCTTCTGATGCTGACCTTGGATTTGAAGGACAGGGAGACGAGGCTGACTTGGTTTAAGTGCTGGGGAGACTCCCAATTTTAGATGAAAAGAATCCTATCAGGAAGAAGCGCTAGAGCCAGCCTTGGTCAGGAGGATTCAGACACCTGCTGGGCCGGCCTTGCATCAGTAAGTGATTTCAGATCCGGCAGCTATGGGAGTTCAAGTTTTATTGCCGGCTGGCCAGAAGGCTGGCTGAAATGACAAAGAGGATCTATTTTAGTGGATTTAGCAAAGGAAGAGACGTATCCAGGTCACTGGACGCACTCTTGAGAAAGCCCCGCAAATAAAAACATCAGCATTTACACCTTTGCAAAAAGTTCAGACACCCTCACGGAGAGGGAAGGATCTGGAGCAGCGAAATGCACTCTCCAAAAAAACTGGCAGCTTCCCGGATCTATACGGACACAGCGCTCTCATCCCTGCCTGCTCGCCCTGCTCACCGGCTCCGGTTCTCCGGGGGCGCCCAGTCGGGAGGGGGCGAGGGGCGTGGAGGCTGTTCTCTCGGAGCAGCCAATGAGCAGCGAGGCCCGGCGGTGGCGCCAGTGACGTAGGCGGCGCTCCCTCCGCCCCACTGAGGGCGGACGCTGGGAGCCGACGGCCGTCTCTGCTCTGGGGTGCTGAGGGCAGCGCGCACGCGGAGCGGGGGGCAGTGCGCGTGCGCAGCCGCTCACCCGGGGGAGGCGGGGCAGAGAAGCGGACGCGCGCATGCGCGCACCCCGGGGCGGTCGCGGGCGGAGGGGGCGGCTCCTCGAGTGTCGGCGACCCGAAGGCCGAGCGGCAGGCGGGCGGCAGGTGCCGCGGCCGGGCGCCGCTGCCTCGTCGCGCGTCCCCGCGATGAGCCTCGTTTCGCGGCCTGCCCCTGCCCGCTGCCGGTCCGCGCGGGCCTCACGGCGTGACCTGGGCCTCGTGGCGTGGCGGGTCCCCGCGGCGCGACGCGGGCCCTGAGCGGGAGCGGCGGTCCCTCCCGCGGCCCAGGCCTCGCCCGCCAGCGCTCCTCGATGTCTCCCCGGCGGGGAGGACGCTGCCTGCGACACCCGCCGAGCGGCGCCCCCCGGAGCGCCCCGCTGCCGCCCCGCGGGGACGATGAGGGCGGAGGGCGCCGACCACTCGATGATCAACCTGTCGGTGCAGCAGGTCCTGAGCCTCTGGGCCCATGGCACGGTGCTGAGGAACCTCACGGGTAATGCGCGGGGCAGGGGGAGCGGTGGGGGACCCACTTCACAGATGTTCGGGGCGTTCGCAAACCCGGCCCGGTGCCGGCCGCTGGAGCACGCGCGGGTCTCGCCAGTGCCCTGACTGGATCACAGTTCATGTTTCTGTCATTAACTACCCCCCCTTCCCCGTGCGCGCGCACACACACTCACACCGCTTCTTGCAGTTTTAGTCTTTTTTATTCTTTCTTTCCTGGTTTAGCCCTTTCTGTTGTTGACAGATCTCAAACCAATTGCAGTACTTATATTGCCTGCTTACCGTGATCACGGTGGACCGACCATTGGTTCCTTTATTTGTAGAGAGATGACTAAGTAGATTATAGCGGGTCAGGGGCTGGACCAAGGTCTAGAGCAGTCCGAAACAGTTGTCTTCTCTCCTATTTCCTTTTGTCTGGCTATCTCCTTCTGGCCTCAAGTTGTCGTATTTGTGAAATTTGAGGATTCTGTATATTTCCCTTCATTAATCAAGGTGATTGGGAAGTGGGTTTAGCTCCATTGTAGCATCAGGTTGTCAGAGTGAGCATTAGTACACATATTTTCATCTAATCAGTCGGTTTGCTTTGTGAAGGAACTTCTGGTTTTCTCATTGTGGAAGTGCTTATACTCTTAAGTTCTGAGTTTTAAAAATAGCGTCTAAAGAGTAATATTGACTAGAAAGCAATAAGAGTCAGCAATTTGAGTCCAGAGTGGCTGCTTTTGTGAAACAACAACCACCACAAACAAAAACTCAAATCTTTAAAAAGCCTTTAATGCCAATTGAACATTACTATTCAAAATCTGTGTGACAGCAAATTAATAGCATATAGTATACATATATTTATAGGTAAAATCTGGCATGATACAGGGTTCACAGGTTCAAGGAGAGAAATATAACAGAGTTATGTACCACCCAGACAACTTTCAGAGTACTTAATTTCTTATTTATGAAAGCCACACAAGTAAAGGAGCCCCTGGAACCAGCAGAGACTGCTTCTTGGTTGCATCTTTATAGTTTTAAAAAGTTAAATTCTCATAGAGATGATTTCAAGATAGACTCCTTTATTTTACTTATGACCTTGTGTGCATTTATTCAGTTTCATGTTTCTATGGTATGAATTGCTTATTAAAGTGTGATGATAAAAACTTAGTAAGGAAATTTCTTGCCTATATTAATGCCCAACTTGCCTCACTGCAGCTGTCCCATACGTAGCTTGATAGTCAAGAGATCCTGTCTGCTGTGCCACATACTGCTTAGCCTGTTCAAAACAAGCAAGCAAACTCATCTCCCAAGACGAGACAGCAAGCTCACCATTTATTGAGTGCCTCCTCTGTATTACTCTCTCTAACTCTGCAGATTATACGCACAAAGCAGTTCAGGCAAATTAAACTGCCCGGAGTTGGATGGTGAGCAGGTGGGGCTTCAGAGCCAGGCCGCCTCAGAGTGCCTTCCTTTCACACTCCATAGCTCTTTGTCAGCTTCATCCTCTTGGCTCTGATGGCTTCATCCTGCTACTTCTGCTCTTTGCACCTACTTCTGTTTGTAATCACATTATAATTTTTGTCTCTTCTAGCTTGAATATGTTTTGAGAGTAAGGCTTGCTGATTCTGAATTCTCAAGTCCTAGCATAATCTGGCACATAATAACTGCTGAATCCATGTTTACTAAAGTGAGGCTGTGAAATAATACCTAATGCAGGATTTAAGCATGATGCCGTGTTGTAGTTCATTGGAGGAAATGTACAATGGAGTATTTAGGCAACCTTTGTAGACCATCATCTATCTCCCAGACTTGGAAAACAGGCAAATTCATGCTGAATGCATTTATATTCTGTGCTGGGTATGGGTTTCCATTTTCTTTATTTGATATTTTCAACGGTTTTTGAGAGATTGTTTGTCTTCAGTTTACAGACATTGAAGCAGAGAGCAAGCTTCTGTTTGGTGGCTAACCTGTGAGGGCATACTTACATTTTCTGAGACTGTTTGGCATCATAGCAAACTGGCAAGTGAAACAGATAATAAAAAGAGGTGTAGTATAAAACCAGGCAGGCTATCTTGGGTTGTAGCTGAAGGAATGACAGAACACTAGGTATTAGGAAATTGGGTTAAATACCAAATCACACTCCCGCTTCTGTACTGAAATCAAACTCCCGCTTCTGTACTGATGAGCAAGTGTGATGTTACTGTTTTCTTAGGGTTTAACCTAAGAAGTGAGGGTCTGCCTTTGGAGAACAGTCTTCTGGCGGCACTCCTCTGATAGGAATCAACGTAAACAGGAGAACTGGAAGCAGAAACCCAGAGCAGGCACTGCTTAGTTAGAGTCTCTGAAATCCCACTCTGTCGCTCTTAGCAGCCTGTGGGGAGAGCTGTTGAATATCGGAGGCAGTGCCAGAGCCTGTCCCTGTCCCCACCCTCAGTTCCACACCTGTCCTTTCTGCCCCACATAGCTACTTAAGGCAGACAGGTCTGAGAGGTAGTAAGTCTTATGATACTTAAAGTTAGCCTGGCTCATATTTGTCCCAGCCAGAGGCTATGTAAAGGTATCTGCAGTAGCTAGGCACCAGACATTCCAATCCATCCATCCATTGATCTCCCCACCCCCACTCCTGTGCTGCCTGAAACTACAGACAGGATCTGGTTCTGAACATACACACCTATGATAGGGTTTAGTTCCTATTAGATGCAGTAAATGCTTAACAATAACACAATAAAGCCAAAACGTTTTAACTGCGCATTGTATTAAAATTCCCTGTGTCACAACTGTTGCACTCTGGTGCTATTAAGTAAGTAAATGGGCTATTTGAACACAAGCATTGCACTACTAAGACAGCCTATCTGATAGCTAGCAGTCAGTCTGATAAGGGAGATGAATCCATACACCCTCGACAGAAATGATTCTTGCTTTGAGTGAGATAGATCAGAACAGCATAAGATGTCATTCAGATGGCCAGCAAGTTAAAAGGTATGAGTTGTTTGTTCCTAGAATTTTCCACTTAATATTTTTTAAAGGGTTTGTGATGCAGTTAGCCAAAGCCACAAAAACTGAGATCTTGAATGATGGTTGGCTAATTTCTCTGGTAAATAAAAGATGCTAGAAAATGTAAGATATTATTGAAAAAAACAATGCTCTCTAACCTTTTGACTGGCTATCATTTTGTAAAAGTTACCAATCCATATTTATTATATTTCCTGTCTTAGGAATTCCCTCAGGCTTGGCCAGCTGTTTAATGTTTCTCTGTTTTAGAGATACTTATGAGGAGTCTGAGAACAAGCCATTCGCAGATCCTGTTTGTCACTAGATGGCCACTGGCCACAGTTGCTGTGTGTCTACCCCTTTCTCTGGGATGTAACTTTTAGGATCCTTCCTTTGTTTAGCCCTGAATAGGTTATAGCCTTTTTTTAGCCTACTAGAGAAATGAATGGTTTCTTTTCTTCATTCACAAGTACCTTTTTCTATGGCTGTATTTAAATTCCTACCCCTCAGTCTGAAGCAGGAGTCCGTACTATGTCTAGCTTTTCAGCTTTGTAAGCTGATATTTTTTTTAATTACTAATAATTAACTGTATCTTTTCACTTTATTTTGTTTTTCTTAACTAATTTGGCTCCTAATTTGTATTCTGATCCAAATTTGGTTACTAAGGATTTAGAGAAGAATTTTTCCTTCAGAAAAGGCAGATCCTTAAACTGCTGGCCAAACATAATGGGGTTAGTCTTTGGAAAGGGATACTGGGCCCTGGAAGAAAAGTGGGTATTATCTTAAGTTTGTCCACTTTCTCTTTGACAGCAGAAAATGTGGGGACAAGTGCCCCCCTCCTTTTCTTTATTGGTAATAAGTGTTGAGAGTCTGGGGTCCAATATATAGTGAAAGATATATACCATTCATTTTGCGTATGCATGTATATGTATGTACAGTTCTTCCTCAAATTATAATGGCTATAGTCTGATAAACCCATTGAATTTTTTTCAAATTATGAATAGAAAATGTATTTATACATCTATCTTACCAAAACCAACACATAGCCTGACCTATCTGGTAGCCCCTGATTGACCAAAAGTCATCTAGCACAGCATCTTGTTTGTCATGCACACAGCAGAACAGAGTGGTTGTGTGGGCATAGGCTTACAACATTGCAAAGCTGAACATTTGTAAGTTGAATCACTTGTAATTTGGGGTCTCTATTTCCCTGTCTATGTTTACTTTTAGAGTATTCATCCACATATTATTATAGTTTTTATTTAGAGCTTTATAGTTGTTCAACTGTTTTTGCAGTCAGCCAAAGAGGGAGGAATAGTTCACTGACCACTGCGTGGTGGTGCAGTCGGCACCTTCATCGTCATTGTTTTCAGGTAGCTGTGCCTCCCTTGGTGTGGCTGTGTTCATCACTAGGCTACCTTACCTCACTAAGGTGGCCATATGTAGAGAGTGGTCTCAGAAGTCCACTGGTGTGACTCAGCCAACAGCTGCAGCATTAATCATGTATACTCTGCTTTTTGAAATTTGTGCCAGATCCCACATTTGACTATTATTGAAACACATGATTGGCATTTCTTATTCTTATGGTATAGCACAGATCAGTAATTGCAGATGGGGCTGCATTTTGTATCATGCATCATTGTAGAAGGCCCACTGTGTGTCTGATGGAACGCTGTAAGGTTTGAAAACTCAAGCTTACTGTCATTGGCATTCACTTCATTTCCACTCCATTATTTTGGAAGTGTGCATAAGCCCGTGTTCTGGAGTATTGAGGATTCATTTAAGATTATGTAGGCTATACTTTTTGACTCTTTAATAATTAACTACACAATATAATTTCTTTTATTTCTGCTTTCTTTGGTGACCAAGACAGTGAGATAATCATGGAGACAGGTCAGAGGTGTTGTGTGTCTAGCAACTGTTTTGGAAACAGAAAAGGAAGGGAAATTGGGTTCACAGAAGGAAGCCAGAATAAAAGTGATCAAATATAAGAGGCAAGCCCTGAGAGTTGAGCACTGA